CTTCATAAATATAAAAATTTTTGATAAATGCATTATGCATTTATGGCATTATATATGGCATTATGCATAGTAGAACTTTATGTAGGCCTACACATTTAGGAACAGATATTGGGTTCTGCCCAAAGTCAAGCAACATAAAAGTAACGTAAAAGTAACGAGTAACGTAAAAAGTTACTTTCTATATGGGGTAACTAAGTAAAGTAACGGATTACTTTTTTAAAGAAGTAACGAGTAACGAGTTACACTACTTTTTAAAAGTAACTTCCCCAACACTGTTTATTTTATTATTTTATAATGTTTCCTGGGTTGCCCTTATAATGTTAGTATGTTTTTTAGATCAAAAATAGTCATAATTTAGAAATAAAAGGCATTTTTCCTATAGCCTGATTTTAGCCTCTGATTGAACGCTCTATCTGAAGGGGCGTGTCTGCTGTGGGATTCAGTGTAGCCGCCCACTGCTGTGATTGGCTGACATGCTTGCATATGAAATAACTATGTATTACATGTGAAACTCTCTCAAATACTTTTACTACAGCTATTATACGTTTTTACTATTACAGCTATCGAGATTAACGAATTGTGAGAAGTTTTTAAAGTATTTAGATCTATTCCCATCACATAAAATGTTGCCGTGATGAGCATTGAGCAGATGACAGTCTGTTGATCACGAGAATGAAGATCTAATCATTGCAACGCAGTTTCTGCACTCTCTCTAATGCTTTCACCAATGCAAACACGATGATGTACATACAGTAAGAGCTTCGTTGTGCAGTCTAACGTGCGACATTGATTTCAAAACGAGTTGTCCAGATAAACTCGCGCTGTGTGGAAAGATTGTTCTTTGATCTCTTTCTGTATATAATTTATTCACAATTTAAATAAGGCTTTTTCCATCCTACTAAAAGAAACGATGTGAAGTTGATATTTTAGTCACTGGCTTGACTTACTGATGCATAAACAGTATTGAACGATTTTGAGAGAAAGATTACCTGTCTGAACTTGAACAATTACACATGAGAAATTGTTGCTTGGTAGCTCGATCGATTTATTCTCAGACGTTCATCGAGGCCAGCTCTGTATTGGCCCAAGTTGAGGAAACAGTCGTCGGTGAAATGTTTGGACCATACACAACTTTGGGAAGTTGTGTCGGCGTATTTCCAGAGAAAATAAAATTAACCCATTGTTTCTACAGAGGCTCGGATGAAGGAACTAAAGAATACTTTTGTGTTCATGTGTACATCCAAACACTGAGAAACTGCTATGCTTCGGCCGCGCAGTTCCGCCTGGCATTGAACATGGGCTGGCATATGCAAATGTTTGGAGGCGTACATATTAATGATCCCGACTGTTGCGTCACAGTCGGTGTAATGTGGAGATTCGCCTATTTTTCAGGGGTGTTTTTCAAAAACGAGATTTAAGAAGGAGAAAACAATGGTGTTTGAGACTCACTGCATGTCATGTCCATGTACTGAACTCTTGTTATTTAACTATGCCAAAATAAATTCAATTTCACATTCTAGGGCACCTTTAAGTGACTGCATTTATTTTAATTTAATTAAGAAGAATTCAATTATTTATTTTACTATTTAACCTGTCATATACTACTGTTCCAAATATTCTATATGTGTTCAATGGGGGGTGGGCAGTGAAACCGGGTCAGAGGTCACTCTTCCGCCAGAACTCAACTTACGTACAGCCATTACCAGAAGCCTGTGATTAATAGTTTATTAAGTTATAAATATGGGTATTTTTCGTACAAAAATTTGGGCTTCGCTTCAGAAGGCCTTTACTAACCCCATGGAGTCATACGGATTACTTTTATGATGGATGGATGTGGTTTTTAGTAGGGATGCAACGATACCGCTTTTTCAAAACCGATCCGATCCCAAAATTCTGAGTATCGGCCGATACCGATACCAATCCGATACCAGTGCAGTTTTTTTTTTTAAATCAAGTAGAATTTCTATAACTCTGTGTGTTGAACTGATAATCACTCTTTTGTGTGTTAAACACAATCTACTTAACACAGACAACTTAATTTTAAAGAAAAACAACAAATCCAAAAAATATATGATCATAATCTGTGACAAAAATGCTATAATAAACTAGATTAGTGGATAATTCAGCAGTAAAATTTAGTCTAGAAAAATCATGAGTGCACAATAATTGTATAAAATCTGAACATTTAGTGAAGAAAATTTAGGGGAACAAATAAGAGACAATAAGTGTAACACTAAATCTGGTCAAACATTACACATTGCTCTTTGTATTGTTGTAAAATACATTCATGAAAAACAAGATAACAAAAATCAAAAAGATAAATTATTATATATAGGGCCTAGCCTATGGCTAGGCTACTATAAAATTGAGACATGTTTTAAATGTATAGCACAGCTGTTTAATGAGGCAGCAACATATGATAGATAGGACAGAACAAGAAAGGCTATTAATAATCTTTCATTGCGCAAAAGTAGTATTATATGATTATGAAAGGATCCAATACAGTGCGGCACACAGCGCTTATGCGCATCCCGAGCGCAGAATGATGCGCTTGAAGCCACACGGAGTCACAGCGCGCAGCGCGTCGAATCCGCATTGAACAGTTCAAAGCACAAAGGAAAGACATATCGATGCGTAGTGTATTATACACAGTATCTATGCAATCGTTTATTGAGCCTTTTCTTTTAACAGTTTTAAATTTCAGTTACTGTGCGCGTGAAGAACAATTATAGTGCTCTCTGACTCTAGGCTACTCTGTTGCGATCTAACAGACGCCCGGTAGAAAGTAACATGATTTAGTTACAGCAATAAAGTCCAGCAATATAAAGTTGTTTTATGCTAAACCATAGACCTTTATCTACAGATCAAGTATAATAATAGTAACATTGAATCATCTTGATCTTGGAGAGTTTCATCGTGTTGCCTGTCGTAACAGAACGCGACGCGCTGTTAAATGCTGAATGGAGAATGACTGACAGCCGCAGCGGAGGGAAAAAGTTTACGAGGTCTTGAATTTAATGACTTAAATATTAATTTTTATCTTACATTATACTATATAATGGCTTCAGAACACTTATAAGATAGTGCACGAAACTTTATGGTACTTGATAATGTTTTTGTGCCTTTTGTGGGGCTTAACAATAACACAGAATAATACGCACAATATCGGATTTGGATCGGCCTCCTCTGACCGATACCCGATCCGGCAAAAATGGCAGTATCGGAGCCGATACCGATACTGAGTATCGGATCGATGCATCCCTAGTTTTTAGAGCTTCAAAATCTCTATTCGCTCTCATTATAAAGCTGGGAAGAGCCAGGATATTTTTTTCATTGAACTCCAGTTGTGTGCAGTGTGGGGTAACGCATTAAAGTAACTCAAGTTACATAATCAATTACCTTTTCAAGCAACTAGTAAAGTAACGCATTACTTTTAAATTTACAACAAAATATCTGTTACTTTTTCAACAAAGTAATGGAAGTTACTTGTCAGTGTAGAATCATGGGGTGTGCTGTGTGTGAACATGATGCTTATTGTAGTTCTAGACTAAATGTGAGCAGGCATTTGGTCCTAATTTGCACAAAAAAGATTCAGTATTCCTCAATGAATAGAATCAGTGAAATGCAAAATCAATACTACGCAAATTTTTGTTTTTATTAGTGAAGTAAGTGTTACACTTTCTTCTCCTGCGTCCTATTCTTCAGTAATCCAGAATGACACCTAGGATTGTTTGAAGGTGAGATAATAAAGCGATAATTTTCATTTGTGGGTAACTAACCCTCTAAAGGTCCTTTCACACTGGACGCGATTTTGACGCGAACTATTCACTTTTTCGTTTCGCTTTTTCGTTACACGTCCAGTGTGAAAGGGCCTTAAGACCCGCAGAAAGCCTAAATCAAGTACAATTAAAGCACGTAATATAATAGAAATTGTTTTAAAGCAGCTTCACAATAACAAAAAGTAAAGTAACAGAATTGATGATACAAACTTAATTATGAAATAGATCAGCATTAAGCAGCTCTGTTAAAGACAATAGTGTTGTTATTCAGCTCGAGTCAGTTCACCGTCGATTCAATTCATGTCAATAACTGGATCATTCTGAAATCATTACTATAAATGCAATTTAGTTGTGCAAAATAATGGGGCACATGCATTTTGGTGTGTTTTTGTTTTTAGTGAAGTCTCTTGATTTGTTTTGTTTTCATTTGCCATTACCAGTATCAATCATGTCAAAAACATCATTCATGAATTAAGACAAAGATGTAGGCTACCAGTATTTATGTAAAGAGTTATAACACTTTTTGGATCAGTGAAAGTGCCTTCAGCTACTTGCATCCCGAATGAAATATGGTTCATTTATTACGTTAAACTTTATAGCCAAGAAACTTGGTAAAAAGAAAACTGACCCTGGGATTTAGCCTACTTTCAAACATTCTTCTTCAGCTATTCATGATAGATTAAGCAGAGCATTCATTTGTTTTGAAGGCCTGATGATCACCATAGTTTTGTTTCCTTTATAAGCCAACTGTTAAATAAAATAAATTAACTCCCACGTTTGACCCACCTGACCATCGATTAATCACTTAAGCATTAATCTGTTTATTGTTGAAATAGGAAAACCACAATTTTAGCCTTATGTTAATGCAAGCTACATTTCAGAGGTCTTCTAACCTGGAAGGTTCACTCTAAACTACACAGAAAGTTCTGAAACTTTAGTAAATGTTAAACGTCAACAAACTGGAGTAAAATCAAAATAGAGCGAACGAGTGAATCAACCCGAACAGAGAGACCGGATGCAGGAACGCGACAGGCTGAAGCTTTACAGCTTTTTCATCGCGTTTTGAGCCTTTAAGGCGACGGAGGGTGTGCGCTTACAGTCGGAGCGACATCATGAAAGAGGGGAAGCACAAAAAAACGACTTTCAATATAACTTAGTTGTTTGGCGTTTCCCTCGACTCCATAAACACTGAAAGGCCTGTTCTCAAGAGTTTTTTCTCACCGTGTCAGCCGCCGCTCCCCGGGCCGAGACGCCGCCGCGGAACTGCACTGGGCCGGGCTGATGAACCCAGGCCCCACTCCGCTAAAGACAGCGATGAGGGGAGAAAAAACACCACCGCCTCCGCCGCCCGCTGTTTCACAGACTCGAGATTCTTTTGACAGCTCTTCTGCTTTTCCCCCTCTGCTCCCCCTTATTTTCTCTCTTCCTTTCGCACTTCCAACAGATAAGAATCAAAATAGTGTCACACAATATGGCGGCCGTACGAGTATGCGCCTATCGCGAGACTTTATTTTCCTTCAAGGAAAAGCGAATTTACGAACCGTACTATGGAGAAGTTTTAGCTCATGAATATTAATTGGTACCTGACCTTCCTAAAGCACAATTCAACAAAACCTTAATATTAATGAGCAAATTCTTTAATGAGGAAGGAGTTGCTAAAGGAGTTATGCCTTACGTAAACGGAATTAGAGAGAGAAATTTGTTACAGATATAGGCCTACCCCTGTTTTCACATTCAAGGTTTAAAGGAATAGGCCTATTTTACTTCAAAATCAAAATGCTGTCATTTATTTTACTCACCCTCGAGTTGTTTCAAACCTGTATGAATTTCTTTCTTCTGCTGAACACAAAATAAGATATTTTAAAGAATCTGGAACCAAACAGTTGATGTACCCAATTGACTTCCATAGTAGGAAAAACAATACTATGGAAGTCAATGGGGTAGGCTACATCAAATGTCTGGTTACCGACATTCTTTAAAATATCTAATTTTGTGTTCAGTAGAAGAAAGAAATTCATACAGGTTTGAAACAACTTGAGGGTGAGTAAATGATGACAGAATTTTCATTTTGAAGTGAAATATTTCTTAGTCTATAGTCCTAGGCAAAGCAACTTGCACTGATCTTATACGTCAGTGCCATTTTTTTTGTCTCATGCACATAAAAAAAGAATTCTAAGGCACTTTTATAATCCGACTTCATTTATCACTGAACAATTCCTATTGTTTACTTTAATGGATTTGAACCACTGGAAGTTACTAAATAAATGAGAAAGGGAAGACATTTTTTGATGGTAGTTAATGGCAATATCCACAGTCAATTTCTTATTAGTAATGGTTAAAGGTATTGTAGGTAGGAATTTTATAAAAAACTTTTTTCCAAATTTGTTTAAACTTTCTGTATATATCAATGCATAATTAAAATGTAAGTACTCTGATAAAAAGAGTATAAAAATTGAGTGACTCTAGACCGTTTAATCTGCACTAAACACAGCTCATTATTTCCTTCCGGGACGAATCAAAGGATTGGCTTAGGCGACTGTCACTCTCTCGCAACCATGGCAACCACCCTTTTGCCACACAGGACCTGCCCACTTGCGCGTATCCGTTTGATTTGAGAAATTCAAGAGGCACGGAACCTAGAAATAGCAAAACAATGGCAGAGAAAGACCAATCAAAATTCACATATGCAGTTCGCGAAAGCAAACCAGCCAAAAAAAGGAAGAGAGTAACGTTACTAGAAAAGGTAATGAACAAAAAGTCTTTGGATAAACAACAAAATAAAACGCGTGTCAATATCGGCTTGGCTTTCCAGCGATGGCGAGAACTGAGAGACCTCAAGGGGCTGAAAAGTGACGCCTTGTGACGACCTCCTCTGCTTCGCCCTCGACCCCGGATCTGTCCTCGAGCTGACGATGCGGTACTTGTCTCTGGAGTGTAGTCCTCATCAGAGTCAACAATGCTTTCATCATGGAAACTCTTACATGCAGAACACCATATATGTTATGAATGTTACACGAAATTCATCTTCATCACAGTGTAAATGATGGCAATGGAAAAACGTGTATCATGCAAGCTGTTTTTAGCTTTGCCTTACAGATAACTAGCTCGTTAGCGAATCAATATATATTTTAAACTTTACCAATATCAATATGCTAGCTTGATAGTGAGTACTAAAACACATCTTATTTGTTTATCTTCATAATGATAAAGTTAGATTTTTTTATTACATGTGATTCTGACATGATGTCACTACATGCACTGCGCTCCTTCCTCTCCGCTCGTCTCAGGTAAATAATGCGTCTTCAGCTCAGCGGTCGGAGTCGCGCGTTCATGTGTTTTTGGGGCGTGGCTTTGGAAGGAGCCGAGAAGGGAGGGGGTGGAGTGAATGGAAATAATGAGTTGTCTTTAAAACAGTCGTGAGAGGTCTACAGACACTTGATTTTTATACTTTCTTTTTCAGAGTACTTACATGTTAATTATGCATTGATATATACAGAAAGTTTAAACAAATTTGGAAAAAAGTTTTTTATAAAATTCCTACCTACAATACCTTTAATTGTCTGTCTTATATTTTTGTTTTCCCAAACCATGTTTTATTTTATTTTTTCCAAAATAAAAAAGTGTACCTGTAACACTTTATAATATGTATACAGTAACAAAGTTCTTATAAATCATTTGCCAATTATTAGTTTATAGTTAATTAATAGTTTGGAAACTGTAGTTAATACATTAATAGAATATATGCTACACATAGTGAGTTCTTCATTCATTGTCACAGAAAGTATTATTGTTTAATTAGCTCATATGTAAAGAGTTAGATAATGCTTTGTTAACAAGTTATTAACCATAAATAGATCTCACTGTAGATTAGGTCACAGACAATTAGAAAATGTAATTAATTAAGTGCTTAAAGCCTTTATTTGGCATTACTTGCATTAGTTTTAAATGTTCCTTAAAACGTGTGTTGACATTAATCATTAATTGACCTGAATCACTAAACTCATTTAGAGCCTTAACTCTGATTTAGATTTTCTGGTAACACTTTACCTGAAGGGGTGTGCATAAGACTGACATGACACCTTCATAAACATGACATGACACATGTCATTATTATGAAGGAGGTTTTATGCATGTTTATGACAACTGTCATTAAGTGTCATTCACTCAATTATGACATTTTTAATGCAAATATGACATTAGGCTTGTTTGAGATGCGGCTTGCCTCGCCTGACATGTAGTCGAGAGTAGGCGGCTGCAGTGAGAGGAGTGAAGAAAGTGCAGGCAAGCCGGACAGATCTCTCTTCTTGCAGTGGATCAGACACCTGTGAGATCAAAGACTGATATCGCGGCATTCACGCTCGTGCATGGTGTTGCTAATAAACTGGATGTAATTTAAGTTCTGTTGCTTTTATATGAAAAGAAATATAATGAAAAAGACACCCAAAGTAGGCTACTTGTTATTTAATTACATTCCAAATACTTGTTTATCAATCATTTTTTCTTTAATACAGACATGTGTTTAACTTTTTATATAGGCTACATTGTTTTAATACAAATGACATAACATAACCCATATCACACTGTCAGAGAGTTTATTCACACATAACATATGCATACACATAAAACATAATAAAACATTTTAAAAGAGAACAATACATCACGGTTGTTTAAACCAATGAGCATTAAGCTGTGTCGTCAGCAAGTCGCAACTTTACAACTCTCTATGGGGTTCTCCCTCGACTTTATGCCTCCCTGTCCCCCCGATTGTGCGCAAGCTTCTACTTCTGTCTATACGGTAATTTCTGTACTGTGCGACAGAGAGTCGCGTGTTATGACGCAATCGTTAGCCTATTTTTACAAAAACGTAAGATACAAGGTAATGGAGCCTTTTATACATTGTCGTGTTTCTTTAGAAATAAACAATGGACAAATGGAGTCTTTAAACGCCTCAGATGTAAAGTTATTCACTGTCAAAGTGACACCAAAATGAATGGGAGTCAATGGAGTGCTAACAGCAGGTGAAGGCTTGTTAGCCAATGGCGGCCCCCGGGGAGACTTCAGTTTCCAGCTGATGGATTACCCCCTTGATGGATAGCAACTGCGCGCGACTGCAGAATCCGACACGTGCACCTTGCTGTCGCAAGAGTTTTTTGACCTACAGATGTCTCATGACATCAGAGCAAGGCGGACCGCACTCGGACACATTTCTAACCGGCGCATCTCGCGCTGATCACCGGTGATAGGTTCTGCGCAGATTTTGCTCATCTCAAACACACCTATTGTTTGAGATGTCTTTGTTATGACAACTTGACATAAACCAATACATCATAACCTGTCAGTGCAGTGTTAATTTAACACTAGTCCTGGGGTCCGTTTCAGAAAGGAGGTTAAGTGAAAACTCTGAATATGTTAACCCTGAAATGAGGCAAACTCTGGGTTTTCTGTTTCAGAATGGGAGGTATGTCAAACCTGAGAAAGCAGAGTAAGTCAAGCCTGTTTCTGAAAGAGAGGTAACTTATACTCAGAGTCAGTTACCATGGTAACTTACTCTGTGAACCTAACCTGGTCGGGAGCAGGTTTTCTTCAGTAAACCGAATCGGTTACCTATCGTAACCTCGGTTCTCTCTAGATGAGGGAACGAGTATTGCGTAAGCTAGCTTACGCTACGGGAAAGATTAATCTTTTCTGAGATATTGAAGCCAAAAAATTATCCTTAATTTTGTATCCATTGTCAACGCAGTGCAGCAGCTGCAGACCTTGAGCGGGCTAGCTAGCGAGCTCATTGGTTGCACTGCGGGAAAATGCTGCAGCCTATAGACGAACTTGAGTGAACTCGCGTCCAATGAGAGGCGGTCGCGCCTTTATCGCATCATAGCCCGCCAGAATGGGCGTGGGTAGAGTGTATATAATCGAGGTTCGTAGGCTGCATCCCTGGTTTTCATTAAATGAAGCGAAAGACGCTCGTGGCGCGAGCACGGCCGGCTACGCAATACTCGTTCCCTCATCTAGAGAGAACCGAGGTTACGTTAGGTAACCGATTCGTTCTCTTACGAGAGGTTCTCTCGTATTGCGTAAGCTAGCTTACGCTACGGGAACCCATTGTCAACGCCGTGCGCGCCAAGCATCCACTGCATGAGCCCCGGGGGGACCCCGGGGAGCCCTATGAGTGGGGGAATAATATTTGGCCGGCAAGAGTGCGGGCCAATGTGTATGTAATACATAAGCACATAGTGGGAAGGGAAGACAGAGCGGCGGTGCCGGTCTGTGTAGAATGTGTCCCATCAGTGCAGCTCACCAGGAGAGCTGTAGCGTATTAAACCACTAGTAATTTTGCCTGCAGGGCAGGCACTTCAGATTGTAAAATCTGACAAAGGTGGAGGGGGAAACCCAGCCCGCTGCCACACATATGTCGTGAATGGAAATCCCGCTGGACCATGCCCACGAGGAGGCCATGCCTCTAGTGGAGTGAGCCCTAATGCCTAACGGGCATGGCAGGTCTTT